CCCTACTGTCTTTGGAGGCAAACTAGGGTTAAAAACCTAACTTCTTTCCACTCCCCAGGCAGGCACCTGGGTATCAAGCATTTGATGAGGGTGAGCTGTTTCTGGTCTAGAACTGTCTCCAGAGAACCTCAGGATCCATGGGGGCCTGTCTGCGAAGCATCCAGGCAGCATTCCCACAACCTAGACTCTATTTGCACCCAGTCTCACCCCAGAAATGACTCACTGTGAACTTTCAGATGACTCCTTCAGGCACCTCTCCAGCATAGTCGTTTACTAGGGCTGACATAATAAAGACACACATGGGGTGTCTTGAACAACTGAAATTTATTCTCTCCTGGTTCTGGAAGCAGAAGTCTGAAGCAAGGCGTCAATAGGGTTCGTTCTCTCTAAGGGGCTTTGAGAGAGAGTCTGGTTAATGCCTTTCCCCTAGGCTTCTCTTGGTTTGCTGGCAGTCTGGCGGCCCTTGGGTTCTAGAAGTATCATCCTGAAACCTTCATCTCCATGTGACACTCTCTCTGTAAGCATGTCTGTGTCCAAATTTCCTTTTTTTTTTTTTTTTTGGAGAGATTTTCACTGTAGGGCGTGTGCGCTCGCCAGACAGACAGAGAGAGACATAGAGACAGAAAGCGAGAAATCACCCCCCAGGGGGGATGGTCACGCCGCAATCCCTTCTCCTCCATTCTCCTCTCGGGATCTTGGGCACGCACGCACGGGACACGAACCGCGGTCGACTACGTGGGAGTCCAGCGACATAGCCATTACGCTAACTGCTGGTTCCCCAAATTTCCCTTTTTCATAAGGACTCAAGTCATATTGAACTAGGGGTCACTCTGCTCTAATCTCACCTGAACAACTGACATATATTCTGTTTCCAAGTAAGGTCACATTCTGAGGTACTGGGAGATAGGACTGCAACATATGAATCTTCGGGAGGGGGCCACAGTACAACCTGTAATAGGGGTTCATACTGACCCTGTGATTTTAGTGTGGGCCTTGAATGGGAGCTCCCTTCTGGCTGAAGTTCTAGTTGGGTGTGAGCCATCTGGCATCTCTCATTTCACTATTCTCCCAACTCCCATTACAAGGATGATGCATGAACTCTCACTTCCAGAATTGCCATCAGGGATTCTACCTGATCCCTGCCATCAGGGATTCTGATTCTGCCAGAATTGCCACCCAATACCAGGGGCTTTAACAGGAAAAGGAGGAGTTTTTATTGTATTTACTCATTGACCAGAAACCTGCTCTTTAGCAAGAAGAGGGTAAAGAGTGGGCGGAGGAGATAAGATGAGATAAAAGGTCACCAGACATGGGAATAGAGGGGGAGGTGGCAGACAGGTGGTAACAGAGCTAGTGGGCTTTATCTGATTGTCTCTGTGTCAGCCAAACACAACTCTTTTTATTAGCAGAGTGGAGGATCTTACTCAGGCCTGGGCCAGGAGCATAGACACTGAGTCGGAAGGGCGAGGGTGCATGTAGGAAGGTAGAATGGGTGCAAAGGGCTGGCACTGAGCTCAGGATGTGTGGGAAGCACGGAGTAGCTCTGCAAAGCAGCTGTGGACATTAGCTAGTTTACTTAATCAGCAATGCAAGCCCCAAGGCTCAAGTCATCTTTGTGCAAATATCACAATGAGCAGGAGTGGGTGCAGTGGAAAAAGAATAGGCTGGTGAGTCAACCAGACCAGAATTTAAATTTCAAATTCTGAGTCTGGTTGGCCTTGGGCAAATCACTGTCTTTCTGGCTCAAGTTCCCACATCTATAAAATAGAAACACTAACAATACCCATCCCATAAGGTTGTTGTGAAGGGTAGATGTACTTACCTGACATAAAGAGTCCTGGCATATGGCAGGTAGTAAATAAATGGTAGTTAGAAATGGTGATGAGAGAACCTTGTGCCAATCCAATGACAGCATCGTTCAGACTATGTGCACAAAGTTGAAACCAGAGCTTAAACCCCTAGTGGTTGTCCTTTAGTTAAGGGGCTTCAAATGCACACAGAGTATGCTCTATGGGTTACAGTGTTTGTAAAGCAAGTACCGTGTTTCCCTCTAGTGGATAGAGGCAGAAGGAGTTAAGAAAGTGTGCCCTTAATTATTGAGAGGGTGGCTGGCCAGTTAGTACCTGGCACTTTGCACCTAGCTCTGCTCTGTCGTCCTTCTAAAGTGAGTGGAAAAGTAATGATAGATTAGACATTTGTAGGGGCAAGCAGATGGTGTGGTAGTTAAAGCACTGAACTCCCACATGGTTGACTGCAGTTTGAGTCCCGGACCCGGCAGCTTGAAAATAGTGCAGGGTGCGTGTGTGCCTGCCCAGAATACCAGAAAGAGAATAGAAAAGATTTTGGTGTGGTCATCCCCCCTGAAAGGGGGTTCTCACTTTCCCTGTATCTCTTTGTGAGTGCACTCTCCAGTGAGCGCATGTGCCCTATGGCAACATCCTAAAAATAAAATAAAAAATAAAAAAACTCCATTGGTGTGTTATTCACTGTGTACCACATCCTATTCTTTATGCCATTGCATAGTACCTTTTGTCGTTTCCACCTCAGTCCCTATGAGGGGACGTTATGATATTACTGTAAGCCCATTTTTACAGTAGAAAATACTAAGGTATAAGAACACAGTGACCAGATCTGTTTCCAGAGTACATACTCATAGCCATTATACTCTGCTGCCTCAGGTACTGTGTTATCTGTATACTGTGACTATAGTGAAATTGTGTGTGTGTTTGAGAGAGAGAGAGAGAGAGTGTGCGTGTGCATGCGTGCACATGAGCCTGTGTGGATTAGGGTATCAGAGAGCACTCAGCCCAGCTGCAGTGCAGAAGACAGGGAGAATTCTTTCATTTCAGCTATTCTCTCTGGTTTCTGTAGACCTTGTTATCCCTTGAAGAATATGAATACAGGAAATGAATAAAGAGGGGTTTCAAAACAAAACTGTGACCATGACAGATTCCCATCTTATGCATTTTAGACAAATAAACCCTGGCAGTAATAGAACTCATTGATACCAAATCTCTCTCCTTGGAATGTCAAACATTCCAGCAGATTATAAAAGGGACTGGGAAGGACCATCTGTTCAAAAACTCCCTTGAGAAACAAGCCAGACGTGTATGCTTTTATGCCCAAAATCCTGAAAGAAGGGAGAGATGGAAGTGAAGGGATTGTGCCATGGCCATGCCACGTGGGAGGTGCTTTCTTGCTTCCTCTTTCCTTCTCACTGTCACTCTCTGTCTCTCTACAGTTAGCACACTGCACCCTCTGGCAACTTTAAAAAAATAAAAATTGATAAATAAACAAATGAAAGTAGAAAAAAAGCAAATGTTTACCCCTGCCAATTTATGGCCATCAATAACAAACATAATACATATGTATAGACTTAGTTTTTTAGAACTGGGAGAGCCTGTAAGATTGATAAAAATATTTGTTAAAATTACAGATTACACCAGGTGTTGGGAACATATCATAGAGTAAGTAATGTGCTTTCCTTATCCTGTTTGAAATTCCTAAGTGACTGAAGAACTTGTGAGAAAGGAAGAGAAGATCTCTTCCTTTAAAATGTTATCTCAAGCTAGGTATGTAAAATAAAAGAGTAGCTTCAAATCCTTTTGGGAAGGAGACAGGACATAAATAACAAAATTTGGACTAAGCGAAATATTACTTAAGCTATCTCCCTAGATACATTTTTTTTTTTTTGGGGGAGATTTTCACTGTAGGACACGTGCGCTCGCCAGACAGACAGAGAGAGACATAGAGACAGAAAGCGAGAAATCACCCCCCAGGGGGGATGGTCGCGCCACAATCCCTTCTCCTCCATTCTCCTCTCGGGATCTTGGGCACGCACGCACACGCGCCCGGCGTGAGTTTTAAGCCACCAGGTCCAGGACGCGAACCGCGGTCGACTACGTGGGAGTCCAGCGACATAGCCATTACGCTAACTGCTGGCTCCCCCTAGATACATTTTTCAATGAACTTGAAATCTCTTTGCTAACTTGAAGTCTGACTTGTCCTGTTGCTTTGTGCTACCTTTAGTTCATTCATTGAATCATCTGCTGTCAGCTTTGGGCAGTTGAGGTTTTCTGGAGTGAAATAAATGCTTTATAATCTGTGTATTAGCACCTCTCTTTTAGTATTATTGTTCATTTAATTAAATTAATTAATTTCTTTTGATTTGACCAGAGAGAGACAGAGAGAAGGGGAGGGGGCATTGATGAGAAAGCAAGCTACCAGGTCCAGGACTTGAACCAAGGTCAGCCATGTGGTAGTCCAGCACTTTATCACCATTCCACCTGCCATCCCTTTAGCACATCTTTCTAAAAGTAGATATCACACATAGAAGTCATTTAAAAAAAAAAAAAAGAAAAGAAAAGAAAAGTCAATGCCATTGTGTGGCTGCACTTCATTTGCTCACTTGGGCTGGGTCAGCTGAGTTGCCAATGCATTCTTAGCACTGATGCATCAAAGGACTTAGAGAAATTAATCAACTGCACTCCAGAACGGAGCCTTCATCCCATAGGACGTGTGAGGCATTAAGAAAAGCTAAGTGTCTCCATTTCAAAATGATATAATACAGAAAAGAAAATGTAAATAAAATTACTTGGAGACATTTTAGTCCAAGACTAACTTTCAGTCATGGTAAACCCCACATGGTTAGGTTAGAATTAGACAAATTAATTGTCTTCTACTCCTTGGAGGTCAAATCCAGACATACTCTTGATGATTCCTGTTGCCAAATTCCCTGGGGCAGATGACATTTGCTGTGTCTCCTTAAAGACTCAAAACTAAGGAGATCCCTCAGGAAACCAGTGCACTAATGTAAGATACTGGAATGAAAAAGAAAAGGCACAAATGAACTTGCTGAGAAGGACCAAAAAGAACCCATTGTTCTAATCTCTTGTTCGTTAAGAAAAAAACTCTTTAAGCTGAGGTGCCAGAGCCATCACGGTGAAGACTATGGTGCTTCCAGACATCTTGCTCACTGGTACACCAGGGGTTGGAAAAACCACACTAGGTAAAGAACTTGCATCAAGATCAGAACTGAAATACATTAATGTGGGTGATTTAGCTCAGGAAGTCTGATCTGATCACCGGATATCATGGAGTCTGGCAAGATGACTTCTCCCAAGAGCATGCCAAAAGATGTACAGATGATGGCACAAATCCTGAAGGATATGGGGATTACAGAATATGAGCCAAGAGTTATAAATCAGATGTTGGAGTTTGCCTTCCAATACATGACCACAATTCTAGATGATGCAAAAAGTTATTCAAGCCATGCTAAGAAAGCTACTGTTGGCACAGATGATGTGCGATTGGCAATCCAGTGTCGTGCTGACCATCTTTTACCTCTCTTCCCCCAAGGGATTTTTTTTTTATTGGACATTGCAAGGCAAAGAAATCAAACCCCTTTGCCATTGATCAAGCCATATTCAGGTCCTAGGCTGCCACCTGATAGATATTGTTTAACAGCTCCAAACTTTGGACTTAAGTCTTTACAAAAAAAAGGCATCTACTTCTGCAGGAAGAATAACAGTTCCACGGTTAAGTGTTGGTTCAGTTACTAGCAGACCAAGTACTCCCACACTAGGCACACCAACCCCACAAACCATGTCTGTTTCAACTAAGGTGGGGACTCCAATGTCCCTCACAGGGCAAAGGTTTACAGTACAGATGTGTACGTCACAGTCCCCAGCTGTGAAAGCAATTCCTACAACCTCAGCAGTTCAGAATGTTCTGATTAACCCATCACTAATTGGGTCCAACAACATTCTTATCACCACTAACATGGTATCATCACAAAATAATACTAATGAATCATCAAGTGTATTGAAAAGAAAATGTGAAGATGATGATGACGATGAGGATGATGATGACTATGATAATTTGTAATCTAGTCCTCATGTACATAATGTGTGATTACGTACTTGGTCTTAAATACACTGTACTGAAATTAAAAATACATGCTGAATATTTTCAAATTGTGTTTTAGAAAATTTAAATAGTATTTAATGAGTAAATATATAATCATTCTTTTTGATTGAAATGTTGGATTTTCTTTCATAGGATTAACTAATGGTTTTTCATCAGCCTCCAAATGTAAAAAATAAAGTTATTCATTTGATTGCTGATAAAAAAAAGAAAAAACACCTCAAAATACTATAGTCCCAGTGGAAAAGAAGAATAGTGAGTGTGAAACTGTGATGAACTTTCCATTGGTATGACAGTTGGCATATGCTGTCGCTCTGATCCTTACGGTGTAGCAGTTGGGAGAACTTGCTTGTCAGTCTCAGCATCTCACCTGGAGGCCTGTTACAATGCAGGTAGACTATGAGTAACAGGAATGGATTTTTGTGTTTGCTTATTTGCAACACCCTAGTTTCTTTAACAGAGTGCAGTGCATCCGATTGCTGGAAGAATAAATTTCTTGATCCCAATCCTAAATCCTCGAATTAAAATCTCTGAAAGAAGATCCCAAGAACCTACACTTTAGCAGATTTACCTAGTTGGCTCCTAGGCATAGGTAAGTGTGAGAACTATTGCCAGTGCACTATTAACTTGAATGGTTCCCCAGAACACACTGCAAAATCTAGAACTAGACATGTGCCACTTTATTTCTAGATGCCTAAAGAGGAAGGAACCAGACCTTGGTTTCTACCATGACCATGGAACTCTTCCCTGGTTGTATGAGACATTTATTCCTGTTTGCTAGGAGTTGTGTAATATTCCCATTTTACTGATAGAGAAACTTGGACATATACAAGGTCAAAATAGGAGTTAAAGCCTACTTTAAATAGGAGTTAAAGCCTACTTTGAGTTTAGGAAATGCCTTTAGCTCCTTGGGTAAAAGTCAGCACCTACAACCTCAGCATTATTATTCCCAACGCTTCGCACAGTATTAGATCACTTTCCTATAATCACTTCATTCTCTTTTATGAGACTTGAGGTTTAATTGGAGGTTCCAATAAGAGATTTTTATGTGGTTAATGGATTTTGGTATAATAATCAGAGTCTGAAATGCTAGTCAGAAGGCCAGCTGACTTCTAATGAAGCTGCACTGGGGGAGCGGATTTTAGAAAGGCATCACAAGGCTACAGTGTAAAAGTAGACATAAAAACGTAGGGGGAAAATGTACAGTGTCTGGTTACTTTTAAATCCTTGGGTCCTGAGAAGCACGTGAGTTCTATTGTTCGAATAGGGTAACTGGTGAGGAACTTATAGAACGTGGAGCAGCCAATGCAATTTGGGGGAAGGACCCAGCAAGGCTAGCAATGGAATGCTTGGACATTTTCTCCCTCTGGCCACTTCTGGGGACCCAGAAACTAGGCTCACCTTCCTACCTGTTGTCCCCTCTTCTTGACCTTTGCCCTGAGTTGCTCTTCCTCCCTGCCACACTCCCCCCTCCAGAATGAGTCACAGACTTCCCAGCTCCCCCCTAAGGGTACTCCCTCCTGCTGTCTCCAAAACATGCATCCACTCATTTCTTTTTAATTATTACTTAAGGAATTTTTCAGCTGGGCATGCAAAGAAGATGGGATTAACGAAAAGAAGATGAAATGAAATAAAATATTATGGGAAATCTTATATTTATAGCTATATCAGATCACTCTCCCCAGGAAATTTCATATATTTCATAGTATAGTGCTGGCTAGGCATTTTCTACTTTCCCGGCACCCTTGGGAATATTTTAAATACCAGACAAGCACTCTTAGCACAGAGATATATTAAACTTAATTTACTTAAAATACTATAGAGAACATATCTGAAACATTAAAAGCTTAGCCTCAGAGGGAAACCAACAACTTGTAAGTGACTTTATCGACAATCAAGGACCCTTTACCCTCTGGAGTTGGAAATGTAAAACATAGCTCCTCTTTGCTTTTCTACCCAGGCCACACAGCTGCTGGTCCTGGAATTTCATTGATTTTACTTGCCTTTCACTAAAATGTGAATTATATTAACCTGCCTTCTTTTTTTTGGAGAGAGATTTTTTGCTATAGGATGCATATACTTGCTGGAGAGATAGAAAGTGAGAAATCACTCTACAGGGGGATTGGCCACACCACAATCCCTCCTCCTCTAGGGATTCTGGGCAAGCGTGTACACATGCCTGGTGTGAGTTTCAAAATGCCAGGTCTGGGACTTGAACTACAATCAACTACATGAGAGTCCAGTGCTTTAACCACTACACCACCTGCTTACTCCAACTCATCTCTTTATACCCCATTCTCTAGATTCAATCATCAACGATTCTCAAGTTTGAATGTACACAAGAGACAGCTAAGGTACTCATTAAGAATTTAGATTCTTGGTTCAGCCTGATGGCGTCATCAGTGACAAACTGAACTATAGGATCCGCAGGTTGGCATGGGAATATGATAGGGGTGTGTGTGTGTGTGTGTGTGTGTGTGTGTTTGCACTGAATCCTAAACAGAGGAGGCCTGTGATGACACAATGAGGCCCCATGGAGGGTGCTTCTCTCTCTTCCCCTCTCATCTCTCTCTCTCTCATGCATGCACTGCCTTGAATAAATAAACTTAAAAAAAATTTCAGATTCTTGATCCCCAATCCCACTAATCAATTTAGCAGGCCTTCCTAGGACTCATGAGTGTGCATTTGTAACAAGCCCTCACCTCGATTCTGAGGACCACCCTTTGAGTACCTGAACTTGAGATCCTGCCTGGCAAAGCTTAATGACCCGTCCTCCTTTATCCTTTACTGGACACTCGGCTCACATTACTGCCCTGTGGCAGGTGTTAGCTTGGCCCATTACATAGCCCTTGGTCCTTGCTCTTTGTTCACGCACCAGGCCCTTCTTTAAAGTCCATGTCCACCACCCCCTGTAGAAGTCCAAAAGCATTATTGGCTACGTTGGTTATACAGGCTATTTCACGGGAAGCGTCACATCACAAACGGCACAGCAAAATGTCATTAAAATCTCCACCATAGTGGTCTCCTTTTCTTCTCCGTCATCCTTGTCCCCCACCAGTTTTTTCCTCAGTCTCTTCTTTCCTCTTACTGTGTAGAATAGTTTAGGTGCCCTCACCCTCCAGTTTGTATCCTCCCTCTTGAATCAATTCAACACTTCCCTCTTTCCTCAGCAACCAAGGGGTCCTCCTTGGGATCTCTCCTTAGAAATCAGGAGTGAGTTATGAAAATATATTCCTCTCCCACCCCTACCTCACCACCATCTCCAGCAGAGAAAGAGGTTCTCTTTAGGGGAAGACATTTGAGAAGAAAGTGGTCCACCCCCTCTGTGATCACTTCCCTCTCCAAGCAAAGTTAGCCTGTGCCCGGGTAGGTTGGAAAGGTACGGTACCTTCTCTTCTGTGAGGCCTATGAGGCACCTGGGGCCTCCAGGGGAGGGAAATGTGCTTGATGAGGCAATATGAACACCTGGAGCTTTGGGGCGAGGAATGGGTTAGGTTGGGGGTAGGGAAGAATGCACTTACAGATGCTGTGTGAACACCTGGAGCTGTGGGGGCAGGGAGAGAGTGGAGTTCAGCTGGAAAGACGTCTTCAAACATTTTAAATGATTGAACCCACCCACAACTAAGCCTTCCTCTTTACTCTCAGCCTTAGAGTATCCTGGTAAACAGACGCTCTCCCCTGTCATTTTATTGGAGTCTGGATGGAGTATGACAGCCTGTTTCAGGTGATGAGTTAATTGGGCATCCAGCCACAAAAAGTTTAGAGCTTCATTTGAGTCTCTTGCAGTCTTACAGAAATCCATTACACAGCATGGGATGACTCAGCTAAGTCAAATGAGGGCAGAAAAGACAATCAAAGGGAATTACCAGGGCGCTTTGGTTAGAATGCTGAACAAAGGCCATTATTAAGCGCCCACAAAGCTCAAATTGCTGAAGGTTGTGGTGCCACCTGCTGGCTAGGCCTTTTGTACCACTCTTGGCCCCATTCTGGAAGTTGTTCCCCAGCCCTCACACATGGGTCAGGGATTGAGACTCCCAGAGACACCCATACTGTCTCTTTGACCTTGACTTCCGTCATTCTCATGCCCTTATGGGACTTCTATGTCCTTGAGGACCTTGAATGATCTAAAACTCTGAAGAATCTAAAATGGTTGAAAGGTCTTGAATGTGGTGAAAGACAAGAAAGAAAATATACTAAAGCTAGCAGTTAAAGTATGCCCTTTGGGGAGCCAGCGGGTGGTGTGGTGGTTAAGAGTACTGAACTCTCACATGGCTGACTGCGGTTCAAGTCCCGAACCTGGCGGCTTACTTTCTCACTTTCCCTTTCTCTCTCTGTCTCTCTCTGGTCAAATTCAAAAATAATAATAACAAATAAAATTAAATAAATAAATATTTATTTCTTAAAAATACGCCCTTTGGATGTTTTCTATGTGCTTAAAATTCTTCAGTATACCATAAGATAGTCACCAATGAGACTACTGATGTGAGCGTGTGAAAGACCAGAGCCCTGCTCTCATGCCCCAACTGTTAAAGGCCTCCAGCTCTAGGCTCCTGTGGGCCACCATATAGACATGCGATTACATCCCCTCTATTTTTCTGCCCTCTATTTATAGACAGACATGGTCTTTAAATTTGTTAATAAAGGTAGAGCCACTGTCATCATTGCTGTCTGATTATTTATCACTGTACTTCAAGAACGGATCATAAAGGAAGCAAAAATATAGACATATTTGGAGTTCGTCTTTAAATTCTAATACCTTTGTCTAAAGACATTACTGCTATGTCTATTTCTCTGCTGGGTGAGTGAAATACTTTTCTCTGGGCACTAAGGTTAACGTCCTTCTTTCTCATCGCCTGGAAGTGTTAACCAGCTGGACCTTTGTTTAACAGCTTCTGTGAAGCGTTGAGCTCTGACAGCCTGCATGATGGATGGGGCTGTCAGCATATCCTCAATCCAGAGACGAGGAGGACATTGCCTCACCTATCAACTCTATAAATCAGAGGAATAAAAATTAGCATCGAGTGAGGCCCAGGGATGCTTTCTCATTTTAGTATTCTTCGTAGATTCTAATCTTTGAAGTGTGCTCTAGGAGGAAAAAAAAAAAAAAAAACAACTAGGACGTTAATGTTACTTTGTTTTACAGCATTAGCATTGATTTACTCCACAAAAGAATTGTTCATGAACAAGACATCTGGAAAAATCAGTATTTATGCATGAACTTGTCCTCTGTGGCCTGGAAAAATAACTTCAGTGGTAAGAGGTCTGATATGAAGTGCGGTGAGGGATCCATCAGAGGAAATTTTAACACCAAAGGGGCAGGACCAGCAGGTGGCATGGTAGTTAAGGTGCTGAATTCCCACATGACCGGCCGCAATTCGAGTCCTGGTTTTGGTGGGTTGCTTTCTCATTTTCTCTCTTTCTCTCTCTCTCATCAATTTAAAAAATAAATAAATAAATAATTCTAGAACAAACAAACACCAAAGGGGCACTGGACAGAGTGGGCAGGGCAGAGAAAAGATGTCAACGTGAAGCATACAGAGGTGCCCAGGAGAGAAGAAAGCCTTTCCTCGCCCCTCAGAGATGATTACTTCCACAGGTCCCAAGATACTGCTTTATTCTTCTTCCTACTTGTTCACATCTCACTTGCCCTGACGAACTGGACTCTGCACCCCTTGATGCTGTGGGAATTGAGTCTCATTCTTCTTTGTGTCCCCAAGTTCCCAGGCCTATGCTCAGAAGCAGGGACTCAGTGTAAGATCTATGAATAAATGAATATATATGGGCTTAGACAATTTAGTGATGTAATTAAGGTAACTCTGGATGAAGAAAGAACTACATGACCTGCAGAAGCATGTAGAAAAGACTACCCAGATTATGAATATGTGCAAAAGAATCGTGGAGAATAAATTGTACCAACAAGCATGGGATCTCATACTTTCTTCTCAGCGGAGAAAACCACCTTCTTACATTGCAAACAGATGAAGCCATGTTATACTTATATATCAAGTTCTTCACTGGGGAAGAAAACGGCAATTAGGGAACCAGCAGATGGCATAATGGCTATGTCGCTGGACACCCATGTAGCTGACTGCTATTTGAGTCCCGGACCTGGTGGCTTAAACTCACACTGGGCGTGTGTGCATGTGTGCCTAAAATCATGAGAGGAGAATGGAGGAGAAGGGATTGCGGCGTGGCCATTCCCCCTGAGGAGTGATTTCTTGCTTTCTGTCTCTCTGTTTCTGTTTTTCTGGCAAGCTCCCGCACCCTATAGCAAAAACCTCTCCCCCCCACCCCCCCCAAAAAAAAAACAGCAATTAGGCTTTATTGTTTTTCTAGGTCACCAAGTTACCACTTTGCCCTGCTTCAGGTTGGCACTCACAATATTGCCATTCTTTCCCATTTTCGTGATAGCCATTGATCCTCCCTTGGGACTCAGGGTGGTTTTCAGCTCTTCCTGGCCCTACCATGTTGAAGTTACTTAAATTTCAGGGTCTCAGCTTCTCTATCTATAAAATATAAAATGACAACACTTGTGCCTTGGCTGCTAAGCAGGACTAGAATAAAAAGTAAGATGTTGTCAGGGATGCCTGTAAGGCGTTTGCATGGCAGAGGGGTAAAAATAGCCAAAAGGCAGTAATTGCAGTCAAATATTTTGTCATTTGCTTTGCCTTAAAATTTGCACTCCTCTTCATGAAAATGAAAAGATGTCCTTTTGCAGGGTGACAGCTGCTGTTGGTTGCAAGAAGCTGCTGTCTGCTGCTGATAAACAAATGACAACTTGCCCCAATGGGTCCACATATTGCTTGCAGCAGACTTATAATTAATTTTTTGCTGTTCTTTTTTTTTTTTTTTTTTTTTTTTTTTTTTGAGCTCTGAAATAGATTTGGCTGGAGTGGGTTTATCTCCCTCTTGACCAAATTCTTTTGGTGTTTTGAAAACTTTCCAAGTGAGAAAATGAACCCTTTTACCCAGCTTGAGTCAGATGCTCAAAACACAAGATAAAAATAGCTGCCTGGGAAGCTGTGGAGCTGCTTTGCCCCGCCCCCAGTGCAGCTAACCCTCCAAAGGGCATTCAGCACTGTGAGTGATGACTCTGGTTTTGAGAGAGCTGATCCTTCTTGCTTTTTCTGGAATGTTCCTGCGACTATGGACAGGAATGTTGCAGGTGAGCCACTGATCAAAGAGCCCTTTCCCGATCATCTGCACTGAGGGGCTGTCCCCATGGAAGGGATTGTTTCTTAAATTCAGTTCTCCCTCGATCCAATCGTAGTTTATGGTTTCACTTCTCTCTCTTGGGTGATTTATTAAATCGGGTTAATTGGTATGTCAACTGTAATAACATCAAGAACGGCATTGTTAATACTGAAAGCTAATGTTCGATAAATACACATCAGGCACTTTATATGCATATGTAAATAGCATTCCATGTGATCCTCATAACAAATTCAAGAACTACATGTTATCGATAGTCTCCGCTTTACAGATGGGGAAAATGAGGCTCAGAGAGGCTCTGTGACATCCCCAAAGCTCAGAGTTTGAGAATGGCGCTGGCAGGAATAAGGCAGGGTCTGAGCCTTAGCCAGTGCACCACATGTTGGGTGAGCAGTGCTGGGCCTGGCATCCTCTGGACTTGTCAGCACAGCAGTTCTGGTTCCTTTTCTCACACAAGAGAACACTTCAGGTTTGGATTTCAAATGGATTATGCAAAGTCGGGGCTTGATTGAATGCCGAGGACTTAAGTGCAGGCTGCAACAAGTATGAGATTCCGGTAGCCAAAAATACAGCACCTGGGGGTTAGCCAGATGGCATGGTGGTTGGGGGCTGGATCTCACATGGCCTACTGGGTGGTTGAGTCCTGGACCCAGCAGTTGGGAGGATGTGCCCGGTGTCTGTGAGTGTGTACATGTGTGCACAAAGTCCCAAGAAGAGAATGGAAGAAAGGGAATTGTGGTGTGGCCATCCCTCCTGAAGGCTGACCTCTCACTTTCTCTCTCTCTCTCCAGTGAATGTGCACATCCTATGGCAAAATAAAAAATAAAATAAAATCTAGCTCCCAAGCTTTCTTCCCAGAGAGGCCAGACTCATTATTGTCCGTAAGAGGTATTAGTCACTGAGAAGAATCTCAATCAGGAGCCCGCATCACGGGGAAGGCCTTATTCTTGTTTGTTTGGAAGCTTGCTGTGCATTATGGATATCCATCCAACATCCCTGCAGCTTAATTTATTCTTAAAACTGGGGGTTATGGGTGAATGAAGATTCATCAAGTGACCTAGTGAACAGGAAATTTTCAATGCAGTGTAGCAATTAAACTGCCCTCAATGAGCTTAATGAGACTGTAACAAGGGCCAGCCAGTGGTGTGGCATTTAAGGCTCCTGGATCCCACATGGCTGACAGTGCAGTTGGAATCCCAGGCCCAGTACTTTGAAAAACATGCTCCACAGGGAGCAGCAGTTGGTGTAATGGCTATGTTGCTGGACCCACATGTAGTCGACTGTAGTTCGAGTCCCAGACCCGGTGACTTAAACTCACGCCAGGCGTGTGTATGTGCATGCCCAAGATCCCAAGACGAGAATGGAGGAGAAGGGATTGTGGTGTGGCCATCCCTTCCTGTGGGGGAGGGAGTGATTTCTTGCTTTCTATCTCTCTGTCTCTCTCTGTCTTTCTGGCAAGCACACAAGCCCTATAGCAAAAAACTCTCAAGAAAAAGAAAAAGAATAACATGCTCTGCGTACATGTGCATGAGTGCCCAAAATCTGAGAGGAGGATGGAGAAGGGGCTGCTATGTGGTCATCCCATGAGGGAGTGCTTTCTCACTTTCTCTGTTTCTCTGTCTTTCTCTCTCTCCAGCGAGTATACATGCCCTGCAGCAAGTTAATTTTTTTTTAATTAAAATGCCTGGTTCTTATGTCACTTAGGATAGAGGGTCATTTTTCTCATATATCTTCCAGTCTAATCCCTGCACTGCTTGTTCAAAAGTTTCACAAAGGGAAGTGTGGAGACAAGGACAGTAAAGCTAAATGAACACAGGGGTGTGGGGGGGGGCACTAGGAGGCTGGGAATTGTTTCCAAGTTAGGCCAACCCAGGTTGAAGGTAGGAGCTAGTTCCAGTTGGCTAGAGGAGGGTGGATATCTGTGTGAAGGAGCCTTTCCTCCAACTTGGAAAAATAAGGGACCTAATGAGCTTGGAAGAGACTCTGGTGATTGGCACATCCACCCGGGAAGCGGCAACAGAGACATGATCAGTCATTGGGGTCATCGTTTCATTCAGTCGGATTCCTGGGAAAGGCACGTCCTTTCAGGAACCTTATATCCTTGGGCTGACCTAAACCATTTTATTTACATTAAAAAATTAAAATTTAAGGACCAGCAGATGACATGGTGGTTAAGATGCTGGACACTCTCACATGGCAGAGCACAGTTCGAGTCCTGGACCTGGTGGCTTGCTTTCTCACTTTCTCTTTCTCTGTATGTCTCTCTCTGGTCAAATTAAAATAGATGAATGAATAAATAAAATTAAATAAAAAACAATTCTTTAAAAAATAAATAAAATATAAAAATAAAAATTTAAAGCAGTTACAGACAGTCCCTGACTTACGTTTCCCTTAAGTTTCTCAACTTTGAAATGGTGTGTTTCTACATTCAGTAGAAACCGTATTTCGAGCACTCATACAATCATTCTGTTTTTCACTTTCAGTGCAACATGCAATAAATAACAGGAGATATTCAGCACTTTATGATAAAATAGAGTTCATGTTAGATGAGTTTGCCCAACTGGGGACTAATGTAAGTGTTACGAGCACTCTCAGGGAGGCCAGGCTAAGCCATGATGTTTGGTAGATTAGATGTATTAAATGCATTTTTTATTTACAGTATTTTCAACTTACGATGGGTTTATCAGGATGTAACCCTATCGTAAATCGAAGAGCATCTGTATTTAGCTGGTTATCATAGAAGCAACAACATTACAAAATAAATTTGCAAGGCAGTGAAGGTTTCAATATGATAAACAGGTCTTCCTCACCCTCATTCTATCTCCCAGCCTCCTACTACCTATGCTACTTAGTGCCCAGGGCAACCACTTAAAGATTAGGTCTTCATCTTACCTCTTCCCAACCCACAGCTCCCTCTCTTCAATATTCCGGATTTTAGGTAAGTGGTTTCCTCCATGTCTGCAATATTAAGTGTGTGCTGCTCTTATCAACTTTAAATATTATGTATTGACTTCCTGCTAGGATGGATGAGTTCATCTTTCACTTACAGAGCTCCCTCCTTTTCTCCCAGAAGTGATATGGCTCTAACAAAGTCTTCTCTAGGTTACTTTTTCCACTATAAATAATGTGTTTGTGCTTCTATTTCCAATTCTATTCATGATAGATAACATATCTTGACTCTCCACTGTACAGTCCTGAAGATACAGTGGAGTCGTCATAACTACGCACTTAGCTTATAAACATCAGCTAACTCAGTGTGGCCAGAAAAGAAGGGGAGAAGTGGGTATGGGAAGGGAAGGACGATGGGAGGAGGAAGGGAGAGCGAAGGCAGAAGGCTTAAGAAGGATGAGTGATTTCACCTGCAGCTGCATTTGCCTACTATAAAGCGAAATGGGAACTACGATCACAAGTTCACACTGTCTCATGCACTGTCAGCACCCTGCCTCATGGTGTCATCTGGGAACAGAAGCAAATTGTTGGCCCCCACCCCAGACCCACGGAACCAGAAACTCTACGGTGGGACTGGCAATCTGTATTTTCACAGGTGCTCCAGGTGATTCTGATGCAAGATTAAGTCTGAAAAGAACAGTTTTAAACTGAGCATAGTTCTAAGATTTAAAGATTCATTATTTTTCATACAATACCAGAGAATTTCAAAAAGTTCATGCAAAAAAATCAAACTGAAGTATGAGTTTATTTCGATGTAAAAAATTTTCAAGGGCCAGCCCTATAGTCTTGTAGTGAGTATGTAAGGTCTCTTACGGGTGGCTGTTGTCTTGTGTTATGAAGTTTTTCAATTGCCTTTCCTTAGAAAAGTCAAAATCATTCATCAGTGTGTTTCTATTATCTTCCAAATTCTTATTTGGGCTTGAAATCCATTTCATTTTTCCAGAAGCCCACTGGAAAGTAGAAAGTATTTAAATTTATCCTGGAAACTTTAAATACTTTCTTCCTTCATTCTTGTTTATGCATCCCGTGCCCTTGTCACAGTCGAAAGGGCCTCCAATGTCTTTATCATCATACCCAGTCTGTGCAATCTTTTCCTCCCTCGACTGTAGCGTCTCCCTCTGGAGCCCTGCTCCTTCTGCTCTGGTTGTTCTCCATAGCCTCCTGCACAGCTCTACTCCTGGGGTCCAGATCCTATGTCTTCCTTTTTCTTGCTTTACAACTGTAGGTGCTGGAGCAGATCCTTAAGTAACTCCCTATTGCTATAGTTACCTATGTCTGGAACTCTTCGTTATGCCTTACGGTAGACTGAGAGTTTGACTATGTATTAGCATTCTAGATTGAGAGCAAAATGAATGTTATCTCAGATCTCTGAAGGAATTATTTCATTGTCTGTCAGTTTTCTTGTATGTTTGTTTTAATTTTGCTAAAGGATTTGTGCATTCACCAGAGAGAGAGAGAGAGAGAGAGAAAAAGTGGAAAAGCAAGCTGTTACGTCTGGGACTTGAACTGTGGTCAGCCATGTGGGAGTCCAGCACCTTAACCACCATGCCATCTGCTGGCCCATCCATTTGTTATCAATGATACTGAAATTTACTTTTTCATATTCTCTCCCTCACTTTTCTCTCTTTTCCCCACATCCATCTCTATGTTTAGGGTCTAGTCTCTACCTTGATATTTTAAAATATTGTAATGGAGGGCTAGTTCCATGGTGCAAGAGTAAGAGAGGAGCCAGATTCCATAGCTGCTGAGAAGGAGGAACATTCTCTGCCTCAGCTTGCCCCACCTGGAAGCCTGGTCCTACCAGAAGAACAACTCTCTTCCCTACTGTGTCTTGTTTCTTGACATATTCCCAATTCCTTTCTGCTGCTCCGGTTTATTCATCCATTTAATCCCCACTGCTTTCTCTTTAGAAAATTCAACAAAAAGTTCTGATCTTCTATAGCACTTGTCCTAATCCATTCGTGCCATGGTAACAACAACAAAAACACAGAATAAATAATTTATAACTAAATAAATTTAGTTCTTACAGTTCTGAAGGAAGGAAAGTCCGAGATCGAGGTACCAGCAGATTTCAATGTTTGGTAAAGGTCTATTGCTTATAGGTGATACTTTATGTGTCTTCACATGGTGAAAAGGAGACAGAGGTTGAATAACTTCCTCATTCCTTTTCTTCTTAGAGAGATTTTTTACTAAAGGGTGTTTGTGCTCTCTGGCGAGACAGAGACAGAGAGACAGAAAGCAAGAAATGTACACTAAATTAATTTAAAAAAAGAAAAAGAAAGAAAAGAAAAAGATGCACACACGCCCAGCATGAGTTTTAAGGCGCCAAGTCCAAGAGTTGAACCATGGTCAAATACATGGCAGTCCAGCAATGTAACCATTACTCCATCTGCTGGTTCTATTCACACCTTTTCTGTAAGGCCACTGATCCCATTCATGAGAGTTCTACCTCATGGTCAAATCACCTCCTAAAGGCCTCGCCTCTTAATATTACCATATTGGTGATTACTTTTTCTTTTTGGAGAGGTTTTTGCTATAGGGCACGTGCGCTCACCAGACAGACAGAGAGAGACAGAGAGATAGAAAGCGAGAAATCACCCCCCCCAGGGGTGATGGCCATGCCACAATCCCTTCTCCTCCATTCTCCTCTCAGGATCTTGGGCACGCACGCACACGCGCCCAGTGTGAGTTTAAGCCACCGGGTCCAGGACGCGAACCGCGGTCGACTACATGGGAGTCCAGTGACACAGCCATTACTCTAACTGCTGGTCCCCATATTGGTGATTACATTTTAACATATGAACTTGGTTAGGGGAGTGATAAATTCAGACAATGGCAGCTCTCTTACTGTTCTAAGTGCTACCATAGCATTATGGGTTTTTTTTGGGGGGGGGGTGTGGGCAGGGGTTGCTGTTAATTTTTGCTGTCTTTTCAATAGAATTTTGTGAAAGAGAGCGGAAAATCACATGCGTTTAATCTGCCATCACGAATTGGAATATATCACCTAAACTCTCAATGATCCCAAGGACTTTGAAATTGTAGGTCAAGGAGGATTGTGGTTAAAATTCTGATTTAGGGACCTCAGGAAATACTTGCCCAGTTAAATGACTATATCTACTCATCAGGATATGACCTTTCAGCCTGCTTCAATATGGATAGGTAAGTATTTTCCCCCTTTTTACTCCTGCATTAGATAGATGAAAGAGAAAAATTTCCTTGTACCCTGGGAATGTTGGAAGATTAATCCTTCTCTGCCCTTGAAGAAAGAAGGATCATTTTTTTGCTTGTTTAATGTTAATAATTTGGACTCTTGGCAAAGAACAAGAGATACATTTTACCAGGTAGAGATATATTGAAGGGTAAAGATGCAGTAAAACTGGAAACTGTGAAAAGCCTAAATCAGGGAGCAAGGGAGAAATGAAATGGCTTTGAAACAGGGCCTTTGACATCTAGAAATGAATGGAAAAGACCAGGAAGGGAGCGATCTTGCTGCCAGGGACTAACTGTGAGAGTAAGGGGTATTTAATACTCAGGGGAGGCCTTAGCTGCAATAATGTAACAACAATATATTCAAATCACCATATAAATGTTGAGAACTTACTATATTCCAGGAACTGTGCCACATGCTTTACCTGCATTTTCTTCTATAATCCTCATAGCAAGTCAGTGAGGTAGGTATCAGGTACTTAGTACGGTCTATTGTCACTTAGCGTTCATTCACATCCCCTTTCCATGGATATTCCTATATTGCTGGTGTTAGAAATCTAAAAACTAGACCCTCAAGGTGAGAGTACTGGATTCAAGGAAGTCCCAACTGCGAGAGACAATGGTACAAGACTTGGAATATAGAAGTGATGTGGTAGCTATCGTTGCTAACAAGTGTTGGTGCCAGCAAGAAAGCTCTCTGTGCTTACGACAGGGAACTGCACATTTCAGGGTTGGTCACCAGTCTGGTGGGGGTGAGAGACAGCTGGGGCAGTAGCAACAGCAGTTTCCTGGCCGTGGGCTCCAGCAGGGATGGCATGCCTATGAAATCCACGGTCCATTTTTGGAGTGGATCTGGAGTTCCAGTCCCACTACTCCAGTTCTTCTAACAGTTTTGTAGTACCACTTCCCTGTATTAAATCCCTATTTAAAATACCCAAATTGTCTTTTCTACCTTAAATTCATATACATTATTACTATCTCTATTTTATAGATGAAGCACATGGGGCTCAGAGAATTAAATACCATACCAAAGATCACCCAACCATCTAGTGGTGGAGCTGGATTTGAACCAATGTGTCATATTCTAAGGCTTGTGCATTATTCAAATATCCAGAGCCAAGAAATACAAAGCACCCCTAATAGAATCAACTCAAGAAGATCTTCTCCAAAGCACATCATAGCCGGATTGGCCAAATCCACAGACAAAGACAAGATGCTAAAATTGGCAAGAGAGAAACGTCAGGTTACTTACAAAGGTTATTCTATCAGGCTAACCTCAGACCTCTCATCAGAAACAATGTGAGCAAGAAAAGAATGGAAAAATACATTCAAAGCGCTAAGTAAAAAACAGTTTCAACACAGAATACTATATCTGGCAAGATTATCCTTTATATGGGAAGAAAAGATAAAAACATGCTCAGATGTTTCTTTCAGCAAAGCCTGAAAGAATTTACCAACACCAGACCAGCTCTTCAAGAAGTTCTGAAAGGAGTGCTTTACCAAGAAAACTAAAGACACAGACAGAAATAAGAGAACAAAAAGCAACCAAGAACATGACCAACTTAATGCTAGGGACAAGAAATATCAATAATAACGTTGAATGTTAACTTCCAGGATTTAATTGGAAAGATGGGACCACAGTAACGCTGCGCATTCAACAGAAAAAAGATGAATAATTACATAAAACTGAGCTGGGGAAATAGAAATTTAGGACTTTTGAGTGAAACATTACTGTCTTTTTCTTTACTGTGTTTTGTTTTCCCAATTTAAGGATTTTGTTTTCTTTTGAGCTATTGATAGGTTCAGCAATTTGTTAAAATGTATTTTCTTCTTGTTCGTTTATTTCTTTAAATGGAAACATAAATTTTTCTCCTTTCCTGACTCCTGTGGAATTGGAAAATATTTGAGAGTTTTCTTATTTCGTGGCAGAATGGTTATTTGCTCAAGTTCAATAATACCTGTTGCCTTGAATCAGAAATTGGAAATACTCATTATTGCCAGGGCTTTGACTGGAATGTCATATCTGAAGATTAAACCAGAAAACTATGGAGCTAAGGTAAATCTCAAGTAAGCCAACAGAAGCTCTTGGAAAGATGGCCTGGCACCATGAACAGCTCTGCCTGGAAGAAAGGATTAGAGAAGCTATATGAAAGAATTCGTACCATAAAATAACCTGGACTTCTCCAGTCCTGCATTGTAATCAGTAGAGATTGCAAAAAAGGCAGCCCCAGCCAGAGGTTTATCTTGAGGAAGACTGAAGGAAGATAAAGAGACAGACCTTTGCTAGCAGATGGTATATCACAGAGCACTTGGTAGATAGGGCTGAGTTGAGAAAGTTTATGTGTGAATTGTGTGCTGGGTGTTTGCTTTTCAACAGTCTGAGTAGTTGACATGTAAATATTTTCTCAAAAATATTTAAAATCATCCTGTCTCTGTTATAGAGTCATAAACAAAATTATAACAAATATTTTGATGATTATCTTTAAATTCAGTTTCTCGAAGTTTTGAAAGTTGTTTGTTAACTGTCAAGAGCTATAGAGTAAGAGCAAAAAAAATTCTTTTATATGTAAAGTAAATGCTTGTGGGAAAATGTAAAAGTAAATAAATGTTAAAAATAATAATAAAAAGGCCTGTGCACTTAATCACTATGCTTTATTGTCTTTTGATTTCCATCTAAAATGGGTCCATGACTGGGCAGCCCTTAATAGTCAAGGACAGTTATAAGACTGGTCTACTAGTAATAGGATATATCTGTTCAGGATGAACAAGTCAGGACTATGGCCTTTGGGTTCCACTGGAGTCAAATTTTTGCCTTGATCTTATTAACCAAGTTACTTTGAACGAGGTAATACAAATCCCTCAAACCACTCTAACAGCTCTAGTTTTCTGTGGATCTTAAAAGTAAATCCATTTAGCTCTGTATAATATATAGACCAGATAAATGGGAGCCTTCAAGTCTTTGAAATTTAAATAATAGAAATATTCAAGATCCTGAAAACAGAAAACATTACCATTTTTATATTCCCATAACCCACCCCCACTGATACTTTATTAAAATATGAACAAAGGCAGAATATGTCCCAGAGGCAAGCCAGTGATTCAGACAATATGTTTTGAAATTTTCTATTTTCCCAGATCAGGAACAGTTTGTTGCCATAAAGATATTTGTCATTTTAAAAGAAAGAACTTCTGAATAGTGGCAATTTTACATTTGTTTGGCTCAAATAATAGCAGCTAGGTTATTCACCATAATTAAAAGAGATATTGGTCTCAGTAAATGAGCTCAGCTTCCTCTTGTGATTTTCCAGTCTTGCGGAGAGGAGGCAGTGCTGTGAGGAAGCGCTAATGGACTTTTCATTTGTGATGGAAATGTTTTGTTCCTGCTGTAAGGCGCTCATGGTTCTGTATGCCTCTGAGCTGCTGGGCTCAGAAAAGCCTGGGGATTACTGACCTGGTGCTCTTAAGCCATGCATCTATTGCTCTATGCACACACCAAAGTCGCAGACGCTCCACTTCCAATTGCAAGGAGCAAGGTAAGCCCACTGTAATTGGAAAGAGCACTGAACTCTGATGTCACGGAAACCACGAGTGGGTACTGTGGAGGGGATCTGAAGCGTTTTCCTGCTCCTATGTCAAGCACTTACTGCTTATCTAACTGGGATGAGCCGAGGGCACCCAAGATCTAATTGAAAGAGGTTGGGGTGGGGACATTACACAGTATCCTGTGGGGGACCTGTGTGGATTCCTATAGTGAGAGAGGGAGAGAGAGAGAGGGGAGGAGATTCACACAGGTGAGAAGAACATACTTCAGCCAGGTACTTTATATAAATCAACCTCTCAGGCCTACCCTAACTATATCCAAATAGTAATATTATTCCAACCAGGATAAAAAAAGTTCTCGGGGCCAACAGGTGGCGGGTGATTAAAGCACTGGATTTCCCACATAGCTGACTGTGATTTGATTCCCCAACCTGGTGGCTTGCTTTCTCACTTTCCCTGTCTCTTCCTGTCATGAGTACACATGCCATACAGCATAAGCAATAGTAATAATACTAATAAGTAAAATAAAATAAATAATTCTTTTTTTTTTAATTTTCTTTCATTATAAAGTCATTCAATTATATTAAATGCTCTTTTTACTTCCAGGCATTTGGGTATAAAGGAACTCTAAAAACAGCTTTTGTGAACATCAGTTTTTCAGAAGTTTGATGTGTACAGTGAATTTGGTCAGATAGGATCCAAGGAAGATACTAAATCTGTTGCTTTGGCTTGAGGTAATCTGTGAGGCAGCCAGTGGCATGGTGGTTAAAGAGGCTGGATCCCATATGGTTGACTGCATGGTTCAAGCTCTGGATGCGGCAACTTTAAAAACATGCCCTGAGAAAAGGGATTGCTGCATGGACATCTCTGGGGAGTTCTCTCTCTTTCTCTGTCTCTGTCTCTCTCTCTCTCTCTCCCCCTCCCTCCAGTGAGTGCAAACACCCTATGGAAAAATTTTTTAAAAAGGGTCATTTCTAATCTGAGTTGGAGTTTCACCTTGGTAATAATACAGAGGTTCGTTGTAAATGTAAGAAAAGCAGAGTTCACTTTTTCATGGCAATACATCTTATTTTCCTAAAAGAAGTTAACAGAAACCTCCAACTCAAGTACATTCCAGGATACATTTTTACCTTGTGTTTCTGAACAATCATTTTCTTGGCAGCCTTTTTTTGCTTAGGTGAAACATTGTGGTTCCAGAACCTAAAAGTCAAGAACAACAAAAATGCCTCATAGCAGCAAAGTGGTATTCACTAAACCCAGGTCCTAAAGGTCGTGTACCTTACTCACAAAAGCATCTCTTAGTGCTCAGAGGAGCCTCTTTAATCTTATATTGCCCCCAAACCAATGAGCCTGATTATTTCGTTATAAAACAGATTGGAAACAGAAATTAGAAGGGATAGCCAAGTAGCTAGTACAGATTCAACTTGAAGCACAGGAGTCAAAAGAAAAACTATAAAATGTAATAAGAATTTGAAGATTATAATGGGAGGTTATTTCATGGATTGGCCAACAGCAAATACTTCAGTTACCTTGAATAATCTCCAAGGGCTTATGTTACATATTAGTATTATGTTCATAATTACCGCAGTCCTAAGGGGTCAAGGAAGTGTTTGGTATTTTTTTTTTCTTGAGTTTTTACTATAGCACATATGTGCTTACTGGAGAAAGACAGAGAGAGAAGGAAAGTAAGAAATCACTCCCCAGGGAGGATGGTCATGTTGCAGTCTTTTCTCCTCCTTTCCCTTCTCAGGATTTTGGGCAGCCATGCCCATGCGCCTGGCATTACTCTCAAGCTGCTGGGTCCAGAACTCGAACCATGCACTCAATCATGTGGGATCCAGTCCCTGAACCTCCACGTCATCTGCTGGCCTGGTAGTCTCTTTTTAAGATTCAGAGACAAGGTATGTACATTCTGGAAACATTACCGTAGAAAGGCAAAAAACAAAGATAGCTAGAGAAGAGGTCAAGTCTTGATTTATTGGGACTCCTCATGTACCCAGATACACTTATGCCCCCTGAGTATCCAATAGCCAATGATTTACTATGTAATATTTTATCTAAAAGAAAAAACTTGAAAGGATTATTGCACAGTCATGGCTATAAGGTATGTGTGTATGCAAACATATGATAGTAAATTTTGCTAATGTATGTGTGTAAATACAGATGCATATAGCATTGTCATACTGTTTAAAGTGAATTCGTATGGATACGTCGCTATGACAAACTTTTCTGTGATCAGAAGGACTAGCAGGTGGCGTGGTGGCTAAAGGCACTGGACTCTCACATGGCTAACCATGGTTCAAATCCTGGACCTGGTGACTTGCTTTCTCACTTTCCCTCTCTCTCTGTCTCTCTCTGATCAAATTGGAAAATAATAATAATATAAAAAGTTAAAAGTAATTCTTAAAAAAATAGTATATGAAGGTTCAAGAATGATATATCAATGTGGCCAGCAGGTGGCATAGTGGCTAAAGCACTGGACTCCCACGTGGCTGACCGCAATTTGAGCCTGGACATGGTGGCTTAAAAATCATGAATGTGTTTTTGCTTTTCCAGTAGAAAACTTTACACTCTTTCGTCTGTTAAATGTTTCTTATCTTTGCTCCTCCTGCCTACCCTCTACCA